GCACCATCATATGACCATGAAACTCGCAATCTGTAACCACATAGCAGATCACGAAGTGGAATATTACTCAAGCAAACAAAGGGCGGGCCGATACAGTTGGTCCGTGGCCGTTTATAGACAATGAGAGGCGGCCGCTGTGTAGAGTGGTCTTCCAGGTCGCCGTCAACCGTAAGGACGACGCACAAAGAAGCCTTCATTACCTCACGTCACCCAGAAATGATTGGCTGAATTTGCCTCCGCGTGTCCTTCAGCGACTTTGTGAGGCAAGTCCCGTTTGAGTTCAGTGGCTGGGCCTTTGTGCATTGTTTGATTGGCAATGAAATGAATGCAAGAACTTGGAGCAAATCCTACAGATCAAATCTTTTGTATACTACTGACCGCCTGTTAGCAACTTGTCAATATTACGCGGTTATTCCGCAGTAGCTGATGTATTTCAGCTTAAATATTCATACAAACTTTCAGACTGGGCCTTAAAAGGGTTTGTTTCGAAGCATTTACTGCAAGTCTGTGCATTAATTGCCCTGGAAACTAAATAAGGCAAGATGGAAATTGGAACTCATATACCACAAAAATTCGCACGGTGAACGCTGGCTGACTCACTGCTGAGACGAACCGCTCGCAGCTGCGTCATGCGACGGCATCAGATCGACGAAACACGCGTGGGTCCGGACTTTTAGTTAGTATGTGTGCCGCCAGTGTGGTAATTAATTACGTATTAGCGCCTTTTCATTTTTAAGGCGACTTCAACGGTGTTGGTCCTTTGTAAGACAATGCATTTCCAGTGTGTATGTGTGTAGAAAGAAAATTAGAATACACGGTCTCATCCCTTTACTGCTTTTTGGTGTCCATGTACACAGGTTGACGACACAAACGTACCAATTTCGCCGCAAATGGTACAAATTAGCGACCCCCTTATTAGGGCACGCGAAGTAGTTGCGGGCTCATGAACTGCATCAGCCTGATATTATCTAATTGTGGTATTTACCGACAAACACAGAGCACATCCACGAAGCGCTTTTCTGCCTCATTGGGCGTCATCAGGTGGTGGTAGCTCAACTCTAGTGTAGCAGCGGAAATTGACGCCACACGCGAGATTCGAACTCGCGTCTCTCCGGCCATAGACGAACGCTCTAACCTTTGAGCCACGGGTCCGCCGTGTTGCCGGTTTGTGATCGAGACCACTAGTATCTAATTGCTCTGTGGACGAGCTCAGGCACCAGCGTACAGAAGTCAATAAGTGCTTCACCGCCACCATCTAAGCTCTGTTGAGTATTTATGAACACAGCCATTGGCGCACTGTCTGCCTTGCCAAAACCAAACAACGCGTGGTAGGAATTATGAACAGCCGATAATACCAGACCGCAAACAGACCGAAAAGATCATATTAGAGGTAGACAAAGATAGGGGCAGGCTGAAACAACCAATTGGCAACACCGAGGCCTAGGGCCAACCTGGAGAGGGTTTAACCCGTTGAATTCAAATTATTGTTTTTATGTGCTACGCAGGAACAAAAGGTGAGCTACCGGAAGCTGACTAGGGCCGATGTTTAGAAAGAGGTCCCTGGTGTTGCTGCTTTATATACAAAGCTTTACTTTTTACAAGCGGGAAAAAAGAGAGAAGAAAGTCAGTTTATACTGTTACGCTCCAGGCTACCTCAGAAGATACCCAAAGTTAGACAGAGAGCAATGAGAGCAACAGGAAATGTCTGGGTTTGTTCGTCAGACGGGCGCCAAAATTGACAGGGTGACGCTCTCTACTCACTGCAGGAACTAACAGGGTGAGAGTGCGACAGAGACAAAAGTAAACAAATAGGCAAAACCACTATGACTTACCAAATGCCGTCGATTCCTTTTCCAGCTCTCAGCTCGGCTGTGCGAGTCGGCTATGAACAGAAGAAAAACGTGACAAAAGATAATAGTGAGAATGGAAGCCCGTTGAAAGGAGTTACGTTGTTTTGGCAAAAGAGGGTAATGATGTAAGCACTACCTGAACCGGGCGGTTTCCTTCAGCATGCTTTATTAAAGCATGGACCGAAGTCATAGCCGCCCAATGCACGCAAAAGTTAGACGTAAACTGGGGAGAAAACAGTTTCCAGGGGGAAAAAGAGTGAGTGTAAAACAACTCAGCACAGCAGGACGACGACGACGACAAGCACACAGTTTAAACCGGGACCCTTTGAGAAGTGAAGTCAAACCGTTGTTGAGCAAACATTATGAAAACACTACTGCCGGCAGCTACGAAAGCTATGCAATAAACGAAATAGTAGAACAGCAAAATATTTGATCATACTGTTCGTAAGATGTTGTGCGAAATAGCAGTCTTGATCAGACCGGAGTCTGCCTCGTGTGCTGAAGAATCACCACAAATTTAGCGCACGCTACAGTAAATGACCTAACTCCTGAAATGTCAGGGTTAAACGTTAACCGAGTAGTTTAGCGCACAGGTCTTCTTGTTATTTTGATTGGCCGAATTGATTTTATTCTCAGAAAGCCTTTTAGCAAAGAAAATTGCAGACTAGTTCTTTATATTGAAGGATTTTGGCGAAATCCGAGGTTGACGGATCTCCAAAAAATTGTCTATGCTATTTAATATGACGAAACCGAACCTTTTGGTTTTCTGCGTTGTGCTGCAAAAAACACCAATATAAGCAAGAAAATATTGTTAGTAAATCCCTTCCGGAAGCGGAAAAGTTGATCTGAAGTTATTACTAATCAGGTAGTAATCACAGATTCACTGTAGCAACCCGGAGGCTTGATATCTCAGCGGCCAGTTTATGCAAAACGGCTAGCCGAAGGCAATGCCACGTGTTCACTCCCGGG